TTCTAAATCAGGATATAAAAAAGTTTTATAAAATCCCAAAGGCTTTCAAAGTGCAATCTCAGAAAGATTCTACAATTCCCGTGAGCTTATCAGATCCGTATAAAATAAATGAGAAATTCATTTCAATTTTCGAGAAATAGTGCTTTGGGTTGTGCTGACAAAATTGCGTATTACGGAGCTAATAAACATCAACTCAGTTTTAATTAAGTAAAGTGACACCGTTGTTAAAATTATACATAAAATAAAACCAAACTCTAGTGGTTCAGATGGAATAACTTTGCATATGATACTACTATGTACATATATCTGAAATCGATGTATACTAAACACATATTATTAACTGCTGTTTAGAGAGAGGATATTTCCCTAATCAGTGGAAACACGCTATAGTTGTTCCGCTACCTAAGTGTTCTGAACCTACTGACTATCGTCAACTGAGACCGATCAGTTTACTGCCTATTTTTTCTAAAATATTGAAACGCGTTATTTAAGAGCAGCTCTGCGCCTACTTATATTCTTACAAAATTATTCCATCTAAACAATCTGGATTTCGGCAAGGTCATAATACAACTTCTTGACGTTGCCAAAGCATTTGACACCATTGATCACTCACTTCTTGTGTTTAAATGCAGTTATTATGGATTTTCTGAAAAACCTGTTTCGTTTATTCAAAATTACCTTGAAAATCGGCATCAAAAAGTTCGTCTAAATCAACAGTATTTTACCGAACAAAAAATTTGTTCTGGTGTACCACAGGAATCAGTCTTAGGGCCCCTGTTATTTTCATTATATATCTCAGATTTAGAAACAGAGGTAAAATCATGCAGCATACAACTTTTTGAAGACGATACTCAAAGTTTCTATTCATTTAGGAGTAACGAATTGTAAACAGCAAATAATAAAATTAATAAAGATCTTGCAGAAATTGAAAAATTTAGTAGTAGTCATAATCTTCGTTTGAACCCTTTAAAGACAAATATGTTGGTATACGCAAATAGAACAAAAAGGAATCCTTAAAAAAGGACATAAACATACATTTAAAAGGTAATAAATTTGTTCCCTTGGATCATTCGAAGAACCTAGGTATTATAATGGATGGTGACTTAAAATTTGATGTACACGTAAACTATCCAATTTCTCAGTGCTACGCTACACTCAGACTTTTATTTGCAAATAAGGCTATATTACATAAATCTGCGAGAAAGCAGTCGTGTGAATCTTTCTTGTTTTCAAAGATATCGTATTGCTTCGTGGTTTACTATCCCTACTTAGATATTATAACAAGAAATCGTATTCAGAGTATTATGAATGCATGTTGCAGACTTGAAAATGGTATCAGAAAGTATGATCTTTTATCGAATGCTATTAATGAACTCAAATGGATGAAAATTGATAAAATGTATAAGTACCAGCTCCTAAGTCTGATTCATAGGGTTCTTTATTCAAAAATACCGTCATATTTACTAAACAAATTCATAAGTAGAGGGAATATACTCGTACATAAAATGAATATTGGATGTAGAGAGACTTTTTCAATTCCACGCCACAGCACATCTCTATTTCAGAATACATCTATTTACAATGCGATCAAATCATATCATTATTTAGACCGCAGTTTAAAAGAAACCAATTCGTTACCCAAATTCAAGAAAAAAGTGAAAGAGGTTCTACTTGATCAGCAGCGAAATCTGGTGTAACTCATAAGTGGCCTCATGTTTTCCTTATGCCTTTACTTAGATTATACTTCCTTCTGTCGTTATTGTATACAGGTATTAATTTGCAACATTTTTTTTATACATCTCGTATTGTTAAGTGGGTTAGATGGCAGAATAGATATAGTTTCTAAATCTCGCCTCCTCTAATACTTACAAATGAAACAGACGTTAATTATTATTATTATTATTAATGAATGTTACCCTAAAGCCCTTTCTTATTCGTGTACGTTAAGCAAAAGAACATAAAATCATTGGCAAATGATTCTATTCATCAGTGCACGAATTGATTAGACACGAATTGCCTACTTTGATTCTAAACCGCTAGAATCAAAGGACCTCACATATGTCGGTCGGGCTAATGAGAAAGACCCTTAATTAAAAAGTTGTCAATCGATTCCGGTCCACTGGCACCATTTTTAATTATATATCGGAATTCGGGAAAGCACGGCCGGAATGATCGCGTAATTATAATTCGGAATTGACGTTCCCTGTAATTGTGTTAAACCCCGCGGCGTAGCGGTGGATTTTTATTCAAATTAACGTGCTCCTAGCTCGTTACTCTTATCCGGAAATAATTGTGGAATTCAAATGTAATTAATTCGTCGCGTCCCACAAAGGCTGACTGATCGGTGACCTCACTTGATATTTTGTGACAATAATTTTCAATCAGTAGTTCCTCGTGCTTCATGTAATTGATGGATTCATCATTACAGTAATGGTAATAAGTAACAGCCATTTCCACTCTTTAGTCTTACCTGAATCGTTGAAGGATGGAATGTTGGTATACTCATCCGTGTGAAACTAGTGGGAAAGATATTTTATATTATTTGTCGTGTCCGCAGATTTCCCACAAATAAACCTGTTTTTGTATAGGTCACAAATCGCACTACCGATTTCGTCAGTCTTTTGAGCAGCAACTTTGACGTAAACTCCTAGGCAGCACTCGTTTCGCACAGCATTAGAGTGGATGAAACTGAAAGAGATGAAATGACTTGTTCACGTAAAGGTGAACATCGGAAAGTTTGCTTGTAGAAACGTTTGAATTTCTTTACAGACACTTGTGCAAATGCGGCCGCACAAGTGCATATGCACGTTTGCATTGCCTTGACGGATTTTGTATGTCTATTTTAGTATTGTGAACCTGCAGCTTGTCACTGTTTCCACAAGACGCTGCGCCCTTTAATTTTTCTCTTGAGAATCGAAAAAAAGAAGGAGCCAAAGATGACGTGTTTGTGTCAGTCGTTGTCCGGTTCTACCGACTAAATTCAAACACATTGTACAAGTATATTTGTCAAGGATACGTTACGTGTAGTCACCTATTTCTATGAGCGCATATACTTTTAAACCACGGTTTGGAGGGCTCGAAACTATTGTTTAATTACGTGATCAAACGAACTTATCTGTAGGTAATGTTCGATCTTAATTATTTGAAGTCCTCGTCGAATTACATATTTAGAATACATATCGTAGTAGCCTCGTAGTAGTACCCAACCGCCACGATTTCAAAGCGCGGATGCAGAGATGGAAAGCGGCACCGCGCCCCTTCCCCCTACCTTTTTCCCCTCTGGCCACCAACAAACCTTCATTCCTTGCTCTCGTGCCCGACCGCAACGTTAATCGGCGCCCCTTGTTTACGTGCTACGTGCAGTGCAGTGTCAAGGATCCGGCTTGGGATAGTCAGCTCCACATCAAGGATGAACGAAGACATTTGGGATAACGTTGTAACATTGGACTCATTTGCATGGGATAGCAACATGGACCTAGCTTGTGATTATCAACACCAAGGACGAATGAAGATGTTTGGAAAAATGACTCAATACTGAACTTCGTTGCACAAATAAGAACACTGAACATATTAATGCGGAGTCGGGACGTTGGGTCAAAAACCTTTCGACGAAATGTATTTACGGATTATTATCATGAAATCAGAGAACGCATACAAGCATACAATGTATCCCAACTTTTCCATGGAACCATTTTAAAACAAACATCCGGATATAACATGCGTTGGCTTTGAATACTGGTCGGTGTCGGTCTGGAACACTCTGCATTCCCAACGCAGTAATTTCAGAAAATAATTTGAGTCTTTTCATAGATTGCAAATGTTGCCAATTTCCAACGGACACAACGTGACATAATATCAATATCACTTTCCACCCCGGTACCAAATATACTTTTCTTCACCTCTTTTTCAAATTACAAAGACTACTCGTTAACCAGCTGTCGATACTGATATAGAGCATATAACGTAACCACTGGATCTCTTTCCTCACATTACTATTTTCCAGCTGATACAACATGATGTGAATCCGAATTCTTGGGTTAGCGATATCACGTCCCAAATTGGTACTTGCCACACACAACACCCGTTGACGATGCTTTACCGCTATCATATCAAAAACTCCTCACAACATAAACTGGTGTAATGCTCGAGAAACACAACGTTCACCTGACCGTAAAACTCTATGGGACAGTCTCTTAGGTATAACTTTAGTATCGCACAATCCCGCGTGATATGTTAAAGAGGATATAAAAATCTGGCGCGAAGTACCCGTAAAAGTGTTTTTATCTAAATCATTTCGGTACGCTTTGTGGACTTGTGGTGTTGTAGCTTTACCGAGTTTATCTTCTAAGGAGCGCTCAGGCTCTTCCGCATTATCTATTCGGTTCGATGCTATGAAAAAAGCTGTTGAGATATTGGTAAGTTTGTGTTAGAATTGAAGATTTTGGTGCAAAAAGGTGTTAATTCAGTTTTTTCGTTTTTTGAGATTTTTAGTGCAAAAGGTGTTAAAAGCGTGCTTTTTGTGGTAGTTCATCTATCTGGCCATAGATGTCTCTCAATTCTTGGATACAGAGATTCATAAAAGTGTTAACTATATCAAAAACTTCAATTTGTAAACTTAAAAAGGTGTTAACTTTTGTGTTATAGGTAAAAAGGTGTTAACTCCTGAGTTGCACTCAAATTCCAATTTGTTGTCGTTTGAACACGTTTCGCGAGAGGTTTGGTTTTTCTATTTCCTGCAATATTTGGACTGTTTTTCAAATGGATAAGGTATGTAAAGTTTTAGTATTTTGTTGGACTGTGAGATTATGTAGCACAATGAATTCAGTTTTTGTTTAAAAGGTAAAAATGAGCCCTCTAAACCTGCAAAGCATACATAACCTCAAAATTATTTGCTCTTTATTTATTGAGTTTTTGTACAACAACAAAATGGTGAAGGCTTTTTCCACGTTTGGACCAAAGACCAAGCGAGTCGCGGTCCTGAAGAGACTGGCAGCTCACTTATGGCCTTTTTGGAGAATATCAAGGATCAAGCCATCGCTCCCGATCATTTAATTGCATGGAGTGATTCGGCAGGTGGCCAAAATAAAAAAAAGTATATTGTCTGTCTATGGCACTATCTAATAAATTCAGGAGTGTTCAGAAAAATTGACCATAAGTTCCCTGAAGTGGGACATACTTTCATGAACTCTGATAGAGACTTTGCAGCTGTTGAAAAGGCTATCAGAAAGCACCGATCAATTTATACAATAGACCAATACATTTCTATCATGGCAGAAGCCAGGAAGAAAACACCTTTCAATATTACAAGAATGGCGGACAAATTTGTTGATATAAAAGAGCTTCCAAGAAAACTTGGACTCGTCGATAGAAAAAAAACTACAACTAACGAGAAATTTTCATTCAGACATGTGAGATGGATCCAGATTGAGGAATTTGGTATAACCAAGTGACTATTGTTGATATAAGAAAACAGCGGAATCTCGATAGGAGAGGACAAAATGAACCTTTATTAGTGAACATCGATAGAAGCCGACCTATTGGGGCCAACAAGTTTGACAATATTCAGGAACAGATTCCTTTCATACCAGAAAATTTTAAAGGATTTTATGAAAACTTAAGAAGAGGAGACGATTAGTTAGTCTGTGGATCATTTGTTACATATTACCTTTATGAGTTCATAATAATAAAAAAAGACTAAGTTTACTTTTTATAAATAACATCATTGAATTGACACATTTTTACTGTTTTTTTTTCCTGTCCAAGCAAATAACCGTTTTTTAAAAAGGTGTCAAGTCAGATTTTTACCAATCTTTTTAACATTTCTGATGATAAAAACATATTTTTTAACAAAACTGCCTTTTAAAGATACCTTTATATCTGTCTTAAATAACCTTGAATGATAAAAGTAACCATATCACCCACATATAAAAAATGTCAGGGTTTAAACTTTGATGCCAATTATCTCCGAACTATAAAATCTGAGTTTACACCTTTTTGCACCAAAGGCTTCAATTGATAAGAAGCAGTACAGTTGTGCCTATATGGGAGGTACAGGGACAACAGAATAAACACTAGAGTGCAGGTTTCAGGAGTTTCGCAAGATTACACTACGAGGGTGGTCCCCGAAGTACCCGACCCAACGAAGAAAACACAAAGATTTTGTAAAAAAAAGTATTTATTTTTCAACATAATCTCCTTTAAGCTCTATACACTTTCCCCAGCGATGTTCAATAAGTTCGATACCCTTTTTATAATAAGAAGTGTCTTGTTTCTCAAAATAGCCATTAAATGCCGACATCACTTCTTCATCGCTGGAAAGTCTTTGACCACTGAGTCATTTTTTCAAGTTTGGAAAACACTCAATTGAAACATCTTCACGACACTGTTTTTGCTCAATTGTGAGCAACCGCGGAACCCATCCTGCACACAGCTTTCTCGTGTCCAAATTTTCAGATAATATGCGATGAACCGCACCTTTTGAAATGCCTACTATGCCTGCTAGCTTGCGCCCTTTCAGTCGTCGATCATTGAGTACCGCTTTGAGAATTTTCTTCACTATTTCTGGAGTCGTCACCTCATTTGGTCTACCACTGCGATGCTCTTCTTGGCAGCTCGTACGGCCTCGTTTAAACTCTGCTACCCAATATTTTACTGTTGTAAACGAAGGAGCAGACTCACCCAGAGTAGAATCCAGTTGAACTTTTATATTGGTTGGGCTGAGGCCGTTGAAATAAAAGTATTGTACCACATAACGATGACCAATTTTCTCCATTTCCACAAATTCACGGAAAACGTTCAGTATTGATGGCTGCTAAACAAATACTAAACATCGTGGCGTCTTCAAATTTGACACATATGCTTTATAGGTTGCATACTTTCTAATACAATGGGAACAACTATCGCGATCTCTAGGTCAGGCCGGGTACTGGGACCACAATCTTATATAGATTTATTCTTGCCGATAATAATGCAATACATTGATCACTAGCTGTACTAAATTTCAATCCATACGGGATTGGAAAACGATGCTGTAGATAGCAGGTGGTACAAACTAACAAACACCATTGACAATTTATTCTGGATTGTCCCCAAAATGACTAAGGCGTACCTCTTCTTTCAGCTGGGATGCTTGGCTGGTGAGTTTTTTGTAAAAGCTAGGAGCCGGCGTTGGGCCTGTACTCTCTGTTCAAACATTCTTGTAAATCGAGAGAGTAACTGCTATCTAGCAAATATTAGTATAAATAGATATTGCTAAGCCGGAATAAAAGAAATTACTATTACACAAAAACAGAAATACATGCAAAAAGAAAAAAGTTTGGTACGTGTTCTTATTTGAACTTCTGACTAAAACGCCATGATTTCTCTTTACTAGCACCTTAATGTATACGGCTGTCCCTTGGTGTAGCTATTTTCCAAAACGTCATTAGATCGAAAGATCCAAGCTTCATAGTCTAATAAATGGGGTGATGAATTTTAAACTCCAATTGCTTACGCATTGTTCTTGTAGCGGTAGGGTCATAATTTTGCCATAGGCATGATGTATTAGCTAATCTAGGAAGAAAATATAGTGTACATACTGTTTTTTGAAACTGCCGCACCCTCTAGGTCTATTGTGAGAGCAAAAAGCTTTTAGTGTCACAAGAGTGATAACTTTCACATTCGACATTTATCAGAACTTGTATACTATGGCTTGTATTGACGAGCCCATTACCGAAAGCTGTGACCTAGTATTACACGCTTTGCTACTTGGGATCTTCTCCAGAAGCAGCACCATGGTCCCTATTAATTCAAATTTCCCCATCGCACCCACCGCCGACATTATAATTCAGTTATGTTCGCATACATTTCGCTCTCGATAAACAGCGCAGCAGCCCAAGCAGCTAGTAAATTTGGAAAGGGTCAATTTAACCCTTTAGATAATGTCTGGGAACCGTGAAAGGCAACACTCCCCGCCTACGGGCTAATTATTGCCCATAGCCCAAGCAAATATGGCTCCAACCTTAGAATGAGGTTAACATTTGTCTGGGACTTTGTTTTGACGTTCCATGACTACGCTCAAAAATCTTATGCTACCTCGGCTTTTACACCGGAGCAGCCACGTAGGCAGAAGCGTAAGTACCGGGCACAACGACTGCTATAAGGAGACACCTTGTTAATCCGGTTTTTGAACTGCCTAAGGCTAGCAGAGCAGGGTGAAACTTCCTCAGGTAGATTGTTCCACAGTCTTGTTATCCTATGAACAAATGTCTAGACGTAACGGGCGGCTCTTGGTGCACGAGGTTCGACATGGTTATGTAACCAGTCCAAATACAAAGTTTCTTTCAACAAAATACGTATTTCAGATAGAGCCATGGTCACACGTGCTGTGCAAAGACTGCAAATCAAATTTAAATGTACTTACAATGCTTTTGTGTCCAACATTCTAATTGCTAGTCTTGGAATAATAGTAATAATAATAATATTTATTACCCATTAGACATGTATAAAACATGTATAGGGTTAGTCAACAAACAATTTACACTATGTATATACATAAACAGTAAAATGACAAGCAGCAACAAACAATAGCTTAGACTAGATATTTTAAAATGGACACCATAGGCAAACAACAGCAGATAAAACTAATAAATTAACAAATACAATATAAATAAGTGGATAACAAACAATACAAAAAAAGAACATCTAAATATTCACAAAGTCACTGATGGCCTAACAAGTCTTATTAATAAAGTAGGTTCTTAACTCAGCTTCAAAACTATTCAAGGAGCTAATTGTCTTAATATACTCAGGCAGCTTATTGAATATCTTTGGCCGCAAAATAGAGAAGGATCTATTACCCAGCTTACATCGAGCAAATGGTAGATGAATGTCGTGCTGTCCACGAGTATTGAATGTATGTATATTACTATTCAAAGTGAAATTATCTCTGTTAATATACGTATATATTGCCATTTCATAAAGAAACAACGAGGGTGTTAGAATTTTTAATTTCGGGAACAAGTCTCTGCAACTGTATATACTGCCAACACCTGCTATGCACCTTATTGTTCTCTTTTGACTTCGAAATACCTTTGAAGCATTCACGAGAAACACAATGCATACCGTATTCGCGACTCGATATGACTGTGATATAACATCAATAACTGGTTGCGTGTGAAAACAGTGTCAACCGACCCAAGAAACGGTATTCGAAAATTTTGGAAAAACAACAATGAGACGTTACCGGTCTGTAATTTTTTGCGATAATAGTTTCTCGCTTCTTGTGGATGTTACTTTTCCCATTTTAAACCTACCTGCAAAAGAGCCAGTACAGAAAGACAGATTGATCAGAAAAACAAAGGGCCTAACAGTATATACCAAAACGTTCTTAACCAGGAAGTTAGGAATTTCGTCAGCACCTGAGGAACGATTGTTTTTTAACCTTTTTTCGATCAGATTAAAGAATTCTTCTTCCGTAAATGGGTATAGATACATGTGTTCCCTAACCGCATCATTGTGTTCGGAACTGTGTCAATATTTCTGGACGTTTTCTCTATAATTTCTAGAGGAGCATTTTTAAAGTACCTGTTGAAGTGATCGGCTATTTCCTGAAGATCAGTAATAGTTTGCCCATTTTCGTCCAGTACAAAGTTTTTTGTTGTTTTATTTTTTCCACTCAGTTCACCTACTAGATTCCAGGCAGATTTAACTGTATTATGTGCGCTCAAAATAGTTTTTTGGTAATAGGGCCCTTTTTGTTTCTCTAATCAGTCTTTGATGCTGTTTTTTGGACTCCAGATATTTATGCGTATTCGGGAAAAATCGTTGCCAGTACATGCTCTTCCCGCAAATGTGAACTAGATCTTTTAACCTCTTCACTCGCCCATACCTTTTTATTGTTTATAATTGCTCGTATTTTTGTCGAAAATGTTTTTGGAAGTGTTAATCGAACACTTGTAAGAAATAATTGAATGCGCTGTTGATATCCGGCAAATTATACAATGTGGACCAGTTTTCTTGGCTTTAGTCTAGTGCAAAATTTGTATGGAGTGGGAGTTAAAACCTTCTTCAGTGTGTATGTGGTCCTATTACTACTTACCTTATGTTCCATCATTTCCAAGATATAACGTTGTCCACTGCACAGTTCAGACATCTATCACCGAAATTATTAAAAACCTGGTCAATCGTTGTGACAACGCTAGTAGGCCATCCTACCACTGGATGCAATCCAAATTCAGATAGGATGTTTATTAAATTGTCGCTGTCAGAGTTATGATTGTATAAGTCTACATTGAAATCTCTGCAAAGAACGATATTAATGTTTGGTTTGTAAATAAAACTTAGAACCCTATTCCAATTCTTTTGGAATATTTTCATGTCCCCTAAGGGAGACCTGTAGCACAAAATAAGGTTGCTTTGCATTTCACGATCGGAGTACTGTACTGCGCAAAACTCTTTGTGTTTTTCAATC